GTGTCCCTCCCCACGAACGCCGCGGGTCCGGGAAGCCCGGCTCCCTGCCAAGGCCAGCCTGCGAGGTGGGGCCGCGCTCTCAATCCAGCAAAGTGCCCGAGGGCCCCGGGACAGGACCCGGCGGGCCGCCACGACAGGTGTCCCCCTGGACTCCGCGGACCGGACAGTGAGGAGGGCGCCGGCCAGAGGGAAGCCGTCCCGCCGGGGGATGACCGGTGGCAGCAGGCGGCCAGGAAATAAGCATCTGCCCGGCGGAGCTGGGTTGGGCCGTGGAGAACTTGGCGACCAGAGCCTGACACGGGCAGACCGAGCACCGAGAGGATTCAGGGGGACGGCCAGGGCCGCGCTGCCGGGGCCCGGGTTGGGACGGAGGAGGACAGGAGGCTCCGAACCGGCCCCGGCCGAGTGGACCGCACGGACCAACGACCCAGCAGCTCCAGCACAGACGGCGCGCCGCCCCAATGCCCGGAGCGGAGAGCAGCGCTGTCCTCGGCCCCCTCCCGTCAGCTCCGTACCTCGTTGGCGGATCCGCCGGCGTCGAGACCGCCGCTCGCCCCGCGTCGCTCGAGTGGGTCCCGGCCCCGCCAGTCCACAACCCGCCCTCACACCGACCCACCCTCCCTCAGGCCCCGCCCCCGGCGCCGCGAGCGCGCGTCACGCACGCAGAGACGTCACTTCCGGGGCCCAGGACTCGAGGTGGGAGGATGCGCCTGCGAGTTCCCCTGGGATCTGCGCTGGGTGGGGCGAGGCCAGGCCGGGCGTAAGTGACATCCTGGGTGTACCAAGCAAGCCGGGGGGCATCCGGGGGGCGGCGGCCTGGAGCGCCGACCTGGAGCGTTCGGGAGCCGGCGGAGAAGCCGGCGTTACTCTGTCTTTCCCTCCGTTCTTGCTTTTGGGATCCGACTCGCAAGAGCGTGAGGGCGACTGCCCCTTCGGTGCTGCCCGGCCCCGGGCGTGGAATAGGAGGCGGGAGCGGAGGCATTGGATCAGAAGACTGTTGCCAACCCGTAGGCTATGAGGCCGCCTGAAAAACGAAGGAGTCCCATCCCTTCACGGACCTTAGGATTTTAAAAGTTTCTCGAAGAGATTGGTTGATCCAGAAGCCGTTTTTTAATAGCTGAGCATAAGTGAAATTAAAAGTTAAATAAGTTATCCAGTATCACACAGTATTAACGGTCGAGTCATAGATGAATTCCAGTTCTTGTGATTCCCATCTCAGGAATGTTGTGTTACAGTTGATCTTAGCTGAAAAGGCCAGAAGCGATAGGAATGTTAAAAAAAACAAAACAAAATTCAAGCCGTGACAGAGTGGCTCAGTTGATTGGAGCATCCTCCCTTTCACCAAAAGATGACAGGTTCGATTTCTGGTCAGGGTACATACCTAGGTTGTGGGTTTAATAGTCAGGGAGCATATGAGAGGCAATAGATGGATGTTTCTCTCGCTCTCCCTAGAAATCAATGAAAGCATACGCTGGGGTGAGGGTTAAAAAAAAATTCTGGAGATCTACTTGGCTTTATTAAGTCACTCATTAATAGGGCAGCATCCCATCTAGTGACTAGAAGGGCGCTTTGAGGGGTTGTAGAAAAGGAAAGGATTTTATAAGAAGAAGGGTGGAGCAAGGGAGCTATTAACGAAAAGAAAGGATTATTTTTGGACCTGGGCATCTTTTCTTTGGGGGAAGAGAATGGGAAGGGTTTTTGTTTGTTTTGGTCTTAAATATATTTTTATTGATATCTGAGACGGAGAGATAGAAACATCAATGATGGGAGAGAATCATTGATTGGCTGCCTCCTGCACACTCCCTACTGGGGATTGAGCCTGCAACCCCAGCATGTGCCCTTCTCCAGAATCGAACCTGGGACCCTTCAGTGTGCAGGCCAACGCTCTATGCACTGAGCCAAACCAGCTAGGGCAGGAAGAGTTTTTATCTTGAAGATTGCTTCTTCTTTCTATGAGGGATGGAGAGATTACCTTGTGACAGATTACCTTACTGGTGCTTGACCAGGAAATTCCAGACTGGTTATTAAGATTATGTTTCTGGGAGAGGTTGAAACTGCAATTACATTATGGGCTTTCAGCACAAGCGATGTTATATTGGGTCTGGTTTTCTCTTTAACAGTTGGAAACAGCAGCTGCCTCTGTCCTGCGTCAAACGAACTCAGAGTCTGGAGGCTTTGCCTAGAAATAAATATTTATTCAAGGGTCTTAGGGTTTGCAAATGGAAAACACAGGAAGGCAATACCCAGTGTTTTGCAGAAGAAAGAAAAACTAAGAGTTCTTGTAACAAAAAGTACATTAATGAGAAGTGTTGTAGGCAGTTAGACAGACATGAGCAGAGCAAGCATGATGGGCCAGGTACAGAAGGTCACCAGGTGGAAAGTCCCAGGTGCCCAACAAGGGACAATCGTAGGGTGGGCCCTGTTCCCCAGTGTGACTTTTCCTCCCCTAGCATATTGCAGGTCACGAGGTTTGGACCCCTTGACCTTTCCTCCCTAGAGATAACATCTAGACCTCAAGTTGTATTTTAGCTCCAGACCCAGATAAGCAACAAAACTAGCCATGGCTGACGTCAGGACCAGCTGCTTGGAATAATGACCTCTTACTCTGGTGCCTACCAATCAATCAGGGAGACCACAACCCTGAAAGGACACACCTGGAAAACTGCTGAATATTCTATGAGATCTTCCCCTGGGACCTCCCCTAAAATCTCCACTCAAAAAAACCCATAGGACGGAAGACCCAGTGCACTCTCTCCCCCACCCAGGAGCACGTTCATGCCTTCCCCTTTCTCATCCACTTCCCCCTCCCTTCCCCACTCCCCCTCCAGGCCCCAGGCACGTTACCAATTGCTTCCTCACTCCCGAGCTCCTAGGGTCCTTTACCTCCAGAAGTTTGCTAAGTCCATTTCTTCTAGGAATTACTTTTTCCACCTCTGTAATTTACCCTATAAATGTTCTCTTACAGTTTGGGTCTTGCTCTGAATTCTTTCCTAGCCAGAACCCAAGTACCGAGGTTGCTGAACCCTGGTTTGGTCTGACCCCACCCGTCAGACAATTGTTGCCATTCCTGCCTCCACCTACAACAGAAGCATTCTTAGCCTCTGGATTGGTCTGAAACAGAAATCCTCTAGATGACAGGTAGTCTGGATACCTGGATATTATTTCCTTATTCCGGGGGTAATCAGGTTTATCTCAAAGTTTGATGTATATCCAGGCATTGATTGGAAAGCTCAAAAGTTAAAGTTCCCAGGCTAGTTATGATGTGGGGGGAACCAAACCAGGTCTTTATCACAGAACAAGGGGGAATTCAAGAGCATGAAAGATTTAGCAATGCACAGTAAATTAATTAAAGCCATAGTATGCACTCAAGAAATGAGAGTGGGTGACCTCAGAGAATGAGATGCTGATGGGGTCTAGGTGGAAGGTTTTTATTAAATGTGGTTAAGAGGAGTAGCAGGGTGGCCCAGCCTGCATGGCTCAGTGGATGAGCGTTTATCTTTGAGCCAGGAGGTCATGGTTCAATTCTCTCTCTCCTCACTCCCTAAAATATCAATTAAAGCCGAAACTGGTTTGGCTCAGCGGATAGAGCGTCGGCCTGCGGATGGAAGGGTCCCAGGTTCGATTCCGGTCAAGGGCATGTACCTTGGTTGCGGGCACATCCCCAGTAGGAGATGTGCAGGAGGCAGCTGGTTGATGTTTCTCTCTCATCGATGTTTCTAACTCTCTATCTCTCTCCCTTCCTCTCTGTAAAAAATCAATAAAAATATAAAAATAAAAAATAAAAAAAATAATAAAATATCAATTAAAAAACTTTTTTAAAAGAAATGTTTGGTAGTTTTTAGTGTACAAATATTTCATCTTATGTTAGTTCCTAAGTATTTTATTCTTTTTAATGCAATTGTAAGTGAAATTATTTTTTAAGTTTCCTTTTCAGATTGTTCATTGTTCACGTATAGAAACACAACTAATTTTTGTGTGTTGCTTCATATCTTGCTACTTTGCTGCATTTATTAGTTCTAACAGGTTATTTTGTATATGTAGAATCCTAGGGTTTTCTACATATATCATATTATCTTCAAACAGAGATAATTTCATTCCTTTCTAATTTGGATGCCTTTTATTTATTTATTTTTTCTTGCTTGGTTGCTCTGGCTAGGACTTCTAGTACTGTGAATAGAATTGGCATAAATGGGCATCCTTGTCTTGTTCCTGATCATAATGGAAAAGCTTTCAATCTTTCACCACTGAGGATAATGTTAGCTGTGGGTTTTTCATATGTTTTCTTATATTGAGATTGTTTCCCTCTGTTCCTAGTTTGTTGAGTGTTTTTACCAAGAAAGGGCATTAAATTGTGTCACAATTTTTTTTCTGTATTAACTGAAGAGATCAGGTAGTTTCCCCCCTTTATTTTTCTAATATAGTGTATAACATTGATACATTTTCATATGTTGAGCAATCCTTGTATTCCAGGAATATTCCCATATGGCCACAGTCTATAATCCTTTTAATATGTTGCTAAATTCAGTATAGTATTTTGTTCAGTTTTTTTCTGTCATAGTTCATGCGGAATATTGGTCTGTAATTTTGTTTTCTTGTAGATCTTTGCTTGGCTCAGTCATCAGGGCAATGCTGGCCTCATAGAATGAGTTAGAAAGCATTCCCTCCACTTAAAAATACATATATGTGTGTGTATATATATAACATATATATGTATATATATTACATTTTTAAAATTGACTTCAGAGAGGAAGGGAGAGGGCAACAGAGATAGAAACATCAATGATGAGAGAGAATCATTGGTCGGCTGCCTCCTGCACGCCCCCTACTGGGGATGGAGCCTGAAACCCAGGCATGTGTCCTGACCAGGAACTGAACCGTGACCTCCTGGTTCATAGGTCGATGCTCAACCATTGATCCACACCAGCCAGGGCCCACTTTTAATTTTTTGGAAGAGTTTGAGAAGGATTGGTATTAGTTCTTCTTTAAGTGTTTGGTAGAATTCACCAGGAAAGCCATCAAGTAAAGGGGTTTCTTTGTTGGGAAGTTTTTGTGTGTTTTTTTAATCCTCACCCGAGGATATTTTTTCCTTTGATTTCTAGAGAGAGCGGAAGGGAGGGGGGAGGAGGAAGAGAGAGAGAAACATCAGTTTGTGAGAGACACATCGATTGGTTGCCTCCTGCACTGGCCCCTACCGGGGCTGGGGAACCTGCAACAGAGGTAAGTACCCTTGATCAAGAATTGAACCCAAGACGCTTTGGTCTGCGGGCCGACATTCTAACTACTTAGCAACTCCAGCTAGGGCTGTTGGGAGATTTTTGATTACTGATTCAATATTCTTATTAGTTATACATCTACTCAGATTTTCTATTTCTTTGTGATTCAGACTTGGTAGGTTATGTTTCTAGGATTTAGTTCATTTAATTTGGTTATTCAACTTGTTGGTGTACATATATGTTTATAGTATTCTTATAACCCTTTTCATTAATGTAAAGTCAGTAGTAATGTCCCTCTTTCATTTCCGATTTTAACTATTTGAATTTTCTCATCTTGCTCAATCAGTCCAGCTAAAGATTTATCAATTCTGCTGATGTTTTAAAAAACCAAGTTTTGGTTTTGCTGATTTTCTAGTCTCTTGTTTCCCTGTTCTCATTTCATTTATCTCCACTCTAATCTTTATTTCCTACCTTCTGCTAGCTTTGCCATGGAGACGTAGAGACGAGGGACAGATGCTGCCTAGGTTTGTGCCACCTTGTGACCTCTACCAAGGCATTGAAGAGTGCCTTGATGGTGTAAGACCAGGTAGGAGAAAAGATGTACAGGGTTTTCAGCTATTGGAATGCTGGGTC